GACATCTAACCAGGGCAGTGAGTCTCTTTCAGCCCTAAAATGTGAAACACAGAAGGACTTCGTACCTCACAAGTCAACTGTCCTTCATGAGTTGATGTAGTGCATGCATGAGTTAAATGTCACACCCAGGCCCCGCTACAAAGAGCTTCCGTCGCTTTACATGGAAACACACCATTAACTGCAAACGAAGAAAACAGTCTCTGCCTCCTCCTATGTGTTCAAGTATTACAGGATTGTGAGAACAGGCGAGCTAACCCCTGACGGTCTTACCTGCGCTCTAGTCAGGAGTGAAGCGATCGCTCTTTGCCACACATTGAGAGCCAGTGAAAAGAGGAAGCTGGAGGAAGGTAGCCCTATGAGAGGATGAACGGTGGGATTTGGAGTCCTGTGGGTAGGGCGAAATGCCAGATATACGAACCGAAAGTCCTGTGGATCAGATGAAGCTGTCAAACAGGGCAGTGAGATGAGAGAGCCACGGGGAGTGGGAGCTCGGAGATGGAGGCCAGGCACAGAAGCTCGGCGGATAGCAGATACAGAGAGCTTAGGCTGAGGATCAAGGTTGTTTTACAGGAAACTGTCAAAGGTGGGAAGAAAAAGGGAGTCGAGATTGTGTGTGTGTGTGTGTGTGTGTGAGGAGAATCAATGAGGTGAAGAAATGAAAAGACTTTCACAAAATAATTCCCACAAAGATTAGATTAAGAAACTCAGGTTAACCCAGTTTAAGTTTAATTTATATAGTAGGGGTTTTATTTATAAGAGAAATGATGTAGAAATGGGTCAAATTCCTGAGATTAGCTTCTAACTTAGACTAGAAGCCTTTTGAGTAACAAGACACAAGGGGTCAGGCGTTGGAGATGTTAGAGCAGACTCGGCGGGACACATGAGCAGTTTTTCACATGTCCTTTTACGTTTGGGCTCCGCTTGCTCACAGAGCGGAGAAAAGCAGTGTTAAATTACGCAGAAGGAGGTGGCGGGACCCTGTCAGCATGCAGTGTGGTGTTGTGGAGAGGGAGGCGGACGGACGTGGCACTGGTTCGTGCCCTCCGGAGTTCCCTGCCAGGCCTCATGACCGTTGTGTTCAACCACATGCTCACACACTCACAAAGGCACTTTTCAACGTAAGACAAATTAGAGGAAAATGGAGGCCCTTTGTTTGCCTGAGAGTGTGGACTTGAGGTGTTTGTTTGTGTTTTTAATTTGGAGTTTGCTGTTTGCCATAGTTTAACTTTAAGGGTGGACTGAGAAACCGTTTTTACTTGTTATTTTTAAAATGACTGGTCACTCTGAGTTTAACATGCAGGCTGAATGTGAAAATAGTCTTCTACCCTATTTCTTGCATTCTGATAGACACAAAAATGCTCTTTTCAGAAAATCCTACTTCCACTAAACAATAATGGACTCACCCATCTTGACTAGCGACGGCTGTTGCTGGTTTAGCGTCCAGGAGAGAACAGAGAATGTCTCGGCTAGGAGAAGCTAACCATTAGCAATAGCAACTCCACAACATGGCAAAACTCCTGCAGGGTTGTGTGACTCTACATCCCTTTACAGCAAAACCATTTACACATACACTGGTGGTGAGAAGCTACAACGTAGCCACAGCTTTGGTATTTTCTTGCTGTGTCTGGTTTCACGCTGATGGTGAATTAAAGGAGAAGGAAATGACACCACCATCAGCGTCGGCTTGGAAGAAGTTTTGCAGTCGGCGAACGAAACTGTCGGCAAGGTAAACAGAATTAACCATTTCTGTGTTTTCAAAAGAACCATAAATGCGGTAGCCACAGCTGCCCTGGGACACACCGTTGGAAGAGAGGCTGCCGCACACAGGAGCCACCAGTCCCTCCAACCACCAGCAGCAGGCATGAAAGGCCTGAAAGCGCCCAAAGACAAAGCAACAGACACGAACAGAGCCAGGGCCCTCATTTATCAAACAAAACTGTCCTTTATTTTCTCCTAAGACCGAAATTTAGAATGTGTGTATGAACAGTAAAAAGACTGATTTGTGAAACGTGTCGTTCGAAAGTTCCTCCGCAATCATCTGATGATAAATCCCATCCATGTGTATTCAGGTGCTCGTGTCCTTTCTCAGTCAAACGCCCTCAGTTAACCATATTTGGTCATGCTATGTCCTCAGCACGTGAGGGAATAGGGAGCCTAAGTCACTTCCGCATCTTGGGTCCCCTGAAGAACGAATAAATGAATGCAAGTCAATGGGGCTAAAAAGCTATTCTCTAATTCCACTTGTTTTGTGTCATGGATTTCACATATGATGTCCGTGAATTTTGAAGACACATTTTGATACCAAGAAAGTGCTTCTTTTCGAACGGGGGGAATGATATTTTAGGTTTTGTGTGAAAATAAGTCCAGGACTACAAATGCGCTTCACGAAAGTGACGTCATCAAACCAGACACGGAGAAAACTGAGGGAAAATGGCTCTAAGTTCAACAAACTTCCCACAGGAGGAAAGAACCACCATAAATCTGGTCATTTGGTAAGTAGCAGCTATGCTAGGGGAGACGAGATTATGTGGTGATGTCATATATGTGCGACGTGCCGATTTCTAGTTTGTAGTCTTGCTAATTACGAACTTTTACAAGCTACTAAATCTCAAAGTACGTGACTGGCGTGGTCGAAACACCCATCATTGCTTTTCATTTAAATTACCATACAACATGTATGTGATCCAGGGCGTAAGGCAAAGCGGATTAGAAAATAACGTTTTTAGCTCCGTTGACTTGCATTCATTTTTTCGTTCTTCCGGGGAACCATGATGTGGAAGTGACTTAGGCCCCCTATTCCCACGGTTTTATTTATTTATTTATTTATTTCGGAAAAAAACCTGTACTGATGGCGAGATGGAAACACTGGCTGCCGAATAGCTAAAGAAAGTTGCAGAGGTTATAAACGCGGTCGGGACAAAGGAGAGTTTCGGGTTCCGGTCAGAAAAAAATAAATAACATGAATTTGATCAATCGTAGAGTAACAGGTTGTCATTTACAATTTACATTTAAGAAGTCACAAAGGGTCCGAAATCCCAGCGTAGCAGAAGGATTTTCTTTGAGATCAGTGAGTTCACGATGAACGCGTTCCCTCCAGTGTGCTCGTTCTGTTAAATCCTCCAATAACACAGAACAGCCATGATATGTTAGATTCCCGTCGGTCACAGGTGTCTTTTCTTGGTTTTAGCACCAATTATGCGAAAAAGCTGTTTTTCCACCCACATAATGACATACTTGAGACGACTCTTGTCGTGATTGGCGCTATATAAATAAACCTGAATAGATTTGAATAGAATGTGTGGATGAGGAACAGGCGTGGAGTACTCCAGTTCTACCTCTAGATACTGCTCCTATGCATGGTCAGAGCTGCAACATTTTCACGCACAAGTACAAACTGGGAAATACCACACAATGCGTAAAATCATTCCCACACATGAAATACACACAGATCTGTTTGTAAGTATGGTTGATAAATGAGGGCCCTGGATTCTAACCGGGAACCCAGCGATTACAGGGCGAACTCCTAACCCTTAGCCACTGTCGTCCTAAGATTCAACCATTTTCAAATAGCATTTTATGTGTATTTGTCCCTCCCAGCATTCATGAGACGTTCTAGAAGATTCAGGCCATGTTAGAAGTATTTCTGAACATGCTGGAACATCCAGGTTATCATGCGTTTCCAGAGAAAGTGGTTGAGGGAAATAATGTGTGCACATCCTTGTCCCTTCTTTGCTGCAATCCTCTGTCCTTGGTTACTCTTCATCTTTGTCCGATTCAAGGAACTGGGTGTCATTAAAGCCTCAGCCAGATGTTTTATCGTGTCGTGTGGTAAAAACTTTGATATTAAAAGTTGGCGCTTATCTGAAAGGCATGGTCAGACCTTGTGGTTGCAGGTGTGTTGCGGCGAGTGGCTGTTTTCTGTGTCCAGTGATGCACAAAATCAGCAGCCAGCTCAAATTTCTTTGTTGTGCTTTCAGATGCCGGACTGATCTATCTATATCTATCTATCTATCTATCTATCTATCTATCTATCTATCTATCTATCTATCTATCTATCTATCTGTCTATCTATCTATCTGTCTATCTGTCTATCTGTCTATCTGTCTATCTGTCTATCTATCTATCTGTCTATCTGTCTATCTGTCTATCTGTCTATCTGTCTATCTATCTGTCTGTTTATCTGTCTGTTTATCTGTCTGTCTGTCTGTCTGTTTATCTGTCTATCCGTCTATCTATCTATCTGTCTATCTTTAAAATTTTCTATTTATTTTATTTATATGTATATTTTTTTCATGTTTGTTTCATGAACTCCAAGTTTGATGTCAGCAATTTGCAAGTGGTTATGTCACACACACACACACACACACACACACACACACACACACACACACACACACACACACACACACACACACACACACACACACAGACACACACACAGACACACACACACACACACACACACACACACACACACACACACACACACACACACACACACACACACACACACACACACACACACGTGTATGAAACAAGTTGCATCATGGCATTCAGCTGATTCCGCGACACTTTAAGGTTACAAATTGGCTTAATAAAAGCCTAATTACCTTGAAAAGAAAATCCTCTGGCTTTAAACTGAATATTAATCATGGCTTATCGTTGTCTTTTAGTCTAATTAATTACCGCGCTTTTCTGCTTTTTGCCTGTTTCTCGTGGATGTGCACTGATCAAACTGTTTATAATCGATTGATTCACAGCTTTTACGTCTAATACAACATATCTGTGTTACTCTGCAAATCCTGTTTGTTAGGAGGCAGGATTTGGCAGGATGTTCTAAATGACAACCCAGTCAGCACTCATCTCCACGGTCTCCAACTGCAAGTGGTTAGAAAGGGAGAACATTGAGCTAATTATTTATTTATTTCTAAGCCATGAAACGGATATGACTTGTTGTGCTTGTCCTGTTGGACGGCTATGATCCAAGTTGCACTGTTCTGGCTCTGCCATACATTTTATTTATGAGCGCTGTCTCTTTAAGAGAATCAGGAAGTTGAGCGTTCAGGCCACACCGTGCAGCGATCGCGCCAGTGTGAAGCAGCTTACAGAAAGCGAGGTGTTGTGTTAACAGCTGTGGGTTTTCAGTTCAGAAAGGGCATTCCTTGTAAGTATTACCATAACATAATGTTTATATGAATAATTAGTTATACAAATGGCAAAGAGAGTTCATCCAGGATGTAAGGAATTATTTACAAGTATTATTTTAAGGGCATCCTTAAATTGTTTGTGGCTGCAATGAAGCATGGTTATGATTTATTTCTGACTTTTGTGTGTTTTTTACTTATTGATGCAAATGCAGTGTATTTGTTGTTACAGTTTCACACCTGCCATATAAAGTACAAGGTCCAAACCACCCAGGCGTCTGAGACTTCTTGTGTGGAGGTGTTTAACTAAACGGATAGTGGAAGAGGTTTCCACGAGGCCGTAAAAGTGAAAAAGGAGGACTTATCAACGAACTACTGACTCCCAGGCTGTGTGAATGCTGTTTTCAGAACAGCACATCAGACGCGGCGTTACCAAGTCAGCGTAAGGCACAGTATACCAACACGAAACATGGATAAATCGGAGTTTGAAGTTAGATCTACTACATCGCGGTCAAGCAGAGCTTCCGCTACAAGTGTAGCATTAGCAGCGGCTCAAGCACGTGCTAAAGCAGAAGCTGCACAGGCCAGAGCTGCCTTTGCAAAAAAGGAAATAGAAGTCAAATTGGAAAAAGCCAGGCTAGAAGCAACACTGCATGCACTACACATAGAAGGTGAAGCTCAAGCTGCAGCTGCTGAAGCGGCAGTAATGGAGGCTGCAGCTGCGAGTTTGGAAACTATAGCGGAGCCCCCAATTAATCTGGGCCAAACACAACGTGCTTCTGAGCGTACGGCTGAATATGTTGCAAAGCACAGTAATCCCTGTGATGAAGAACCAATTAAAATGAATGAGAAGGACATTAAAAAAAAGGAAAACACGCACGAAAGGCAAACTGATGGGTCAGATATGGATCTAAAAGAATACCTGCTCCAGCGGGCCCCAGAAATCATTGACTCTAAATCAGAATGGAATGAACCTAAGAAGCAGGACAACCAGTCATTCACACCAAATGCTCAGGAAAAGATGGCTCACAATAATCCCCACTATATGACGCCCTCTACTGGTCGCTCTCAGTATTGGCCAACGGCTCAGCACTACAGCAGTGACACTAATGAACTTGCTAAATATTTAGTAAAGAGCCAGTTGTTGGTGTCTGAGCTTGATAAGTTTGACGACAAACCAGAAAATTATTTATCCTGGAAATCATCATTCATTAGTGGCACAGAGCACCTCGATCTAAAAGTTGGAGAAGAAATTGACCTCCTGATAAAATCGCTGGGCCCAGAATCCGCAAGACATGCACGACGCATTAAAGCAGTAAACATAAGCAAGTCAGCCGTTGCCCTAAGGCTCATTTGGGAACGGCTAGAAGAGACATATGGTTCACCAGAAGCCATAGAGGGCGCTCTTTTTGCTAAGCTTGACCAGTTCCCCAAAATTGGGCCAAGAGATAATATTAAACTGAGGGAACTCAGCGATCTATTGTTGGAAATAAATTCAGCAAAGGAGGAAGGATATCTAAATGGACTGTCTTATCTTGACACAGCTCGAGGCATTGGTCCAATCGTGGAAAAGCTGCCGTATGGACTACAAGACAGATGGATGATGGAAGGTTCGCGTTACAAACAGGAAAATGAAGTGGGATTTCCTCCATTTACAGTTTTTATACAGTTTATTCAAACACAAGCAAAGGCACGTAATGACCCAAGCTTCAATATCCAGTCACTATCCATCGGCGGGATGAAAAAAGACAGGCTTGTCGAGAACCAGAGTAATAATCGCCGAACAGTCTCAGTGCACAAAACAAACATAACATCTTCACCCGCGAGCGAACCAGACAAATGGTGTCCCGTGCATAACAAACCACACGCACTACTGCAATGCAGAGGCTTTAAAGAGAAAACACTTGATGAAAAAAGGAGACTATTGAAACAACACAATGTATGCTACAAGTGCTGTGCATCTAACAAACACGTGGCACGTAACTGTGAAGCGGCAGTTAAATGTTCTGAGTGTCAATCCGATAAGCACCCCACTGTTATGCACTCAGATGCACCTTACCGGCCTACCCAGTCCGTAGCTCCGGCAGATTATGGCGGGGAGGAAGAAGATGGGAAGGAGCAAAGAGTGGTTACAAGTTGCACTGAGGTATGTGAGGAGGGTTTTACTGGGAAGTCATGTTCCAAAATATGCCTAGTAAATGTCTACCCAGCTAACGACCGCAGCAAGAGCAAAAGATTGTACGCCATGTTGGACGACCAGAGTAACTTATCATTAGCCCGCTCAGAGTTTTTTGACATGTTCAAAGTTAACAGTTCTCCGATACCATACACCCTCCAAACCTGTGCTGGCGTGGGGCTCACAGCTGGTCGAAGGGCACTGGGTTATGTCATAGAGCCGGTAGATGGTGCTCCTGCAATACCACTGCCAATGTTGATTGAGTGCAACATGATACCAAACAAGAGAGAGGAGATTCCCACCCCAGCAGCAGCGCAAGGTCATCCTCACCTTGAACGCATTGCACATAAAATACCGCCAATAGACGACAATGCTCAGATACTGCTACTACTTGGAAGGGACATTCTACAAGTCCATAAAGTTCGCAGTCAAATCAATGGTCCACACAACGCACCGTACGCGCAGAGATTGGATCTAGGCTGGGTGATAGTTGGAGATGTGTGCTTGGGCAGCACTCATAAGCCCTCAAGGGTAACCAGTCTTAAAACTCACGTTCTTGCAAATGGGAGACCCACCCATTTTACTCCTTGTGGAAACCACTTCAATGTCAAGACAGAGTTGAGCCTTCCAGTTAGACCGCCAATTCCAAGTAACACAAATGTAAAACAAAGTGGGGCTGGTACAGGCTTGGAAGATGATGTTTTCTGCCAGACAAAAAATGACAACAAGCTTGCACCCTCAATGGAGGATTTGTCGTTCCTCAAAATCATGGATGATGAGTTCAAACAAGACGAAAACAAGAGCTGGGTGGCCCCACTACCATTCCGTCGGCCAAGAAAGATACTGCCGAACAACCGACAGTATGCCGTCAGTCGCCTCAAATCGCTGCAACGCACGCTAAAAAAAAACCCTGAAATGCAGTCCCACTTCATAGACTTTATGCAGAAGATGCTGGACAATGGACATGCTGAGGTTGCACCTCCAGTACAGGAGAACAAAGAGTACTGGTATCTACCATTTTTTGGGGTCTACCATCCGCAGAAACCATCACAGATAAGGGTGGTGTTCGACTCCAATGCACGGTTTGAAGGCATGTCGCTAAACGATGTGTTGCTTTCGGGACCTAACCTGAACAACAGTCTGTTGGGTGTATTATTGAGATTTAGAAAGCACCAAGTTGCAATAACTGCAGACATCCAGCAGATGTTTTATTGCTTTTTGGTACGCGAGGACTGTAGGGATGTTTTAAGATTTGTGTGGCACGAAGACAACAATCCAAAGAATCAAATAGTGGACTTCCGAATGCGCGTCCATGTCTTCGGCAATAGCCCCTCCCCTGCAGTAGCCACCTTTGGACTAAGGAGGGCAGCACAACAAGGTGAGGAAAAGTATGGAGAGGATGTGCGTCAGTTTGTGGATAGAGACTTTTATGTGGACGACGCCTTAAAGTCTGTTCCCACTGAAGAGGATGCCATTGATCTATTAAAAAGAACACAAGACATGCTTGCCGAATCAAACCTTAGGCTTCTCAAGATGGCTTCCAACAAAGTTAAAGTGATGGATGCTTTTCCAGTAAAAGACCGAGCCAAAGATCTCCAGGATCTCGACCTGTCCGAGGACGACCTTCCCGATCAACGGAGCCTTGGTGTTAAGTGGAATATTATGTCAGATGAATTCACCTTTCATATTCCCCAAACAGATAAACCGTACACACGCAGAGGGGTCCTGTCAACAGTAAATGGTGTATTTGACCCGCTTGGTTTCTTGTCCCCAGTTATCATCCAAGGACGTCTCCTCTTGAGGGAACTTTCACCATACGCGACAGAATGGGATTCAGCCCTGCCTGAAAGCATGAGAGGGAAATGGACAGAATGGCAGCAGTCCCTACAATGCCTCAGTGATCTACAGATCCCACGTACGTACTCCAACATCTCCCTCTCTCAAGCTAAAATTGTTGAACTGTGCATCTTTTCAGATGCATCACTGAAAGCAATATGTGCTGTTGCCTATCTCAAAGTTACCGATGCTGATGATGCCGTAGAAGTTGGCTTTGTTCTAGGAAAAGCTCGGCTCGCTCCCCAGCCGGAGCTTACAGTCCCCAGGCTTGAACTCTGCGCAGCAGTAATGGCTGTGGAAATGGCAGAAGTGATAAGTGAGGAGATTGACCATCAGATCGACAAAATCAGCTTCTACACAGATAGCAAAGTAGTTTTGGGTTATATCAGCAACCAGTCAAGACGCTTCTACGTGTATGTAAGCAACCGTGTCAGACGCATCAGAGAGTCAACAACACCAGAGCAATGGCATTTCGTTCCAACGGATAAAAACCCTGCTGACCATGGCTCACGGTCTGTTCCAGCCTCAGAGTTACAAAACACAACATGGCTTACAGGGCCAGCCTTCCTGAAGTGCTCTTCAGACATCCAGCCACAACCACATAAGTATGAGCTTATGGATCCAGATGGTGATGCAGAGGTACGTCCACAGGTAGAAACATTCTACACATGTAGCTCAAAAACTGTGCTGGACACAAAACGCTGGGAACGGTTTTCCTCATGGAAATCCTTGATTAGAACTGTTGCAAACCTGATTCACATAGCGGACTGCTTCTCCCTCCAAAAAACAAAAAAAGACTGTACTGGATGGCATATGTGCAGCACAGCCATCACCTGCGAACTGATGGGAAAAGCTGAAAACACAATCATCAAAAATGTTCAGCAAGAAACATACACAGAGGAAATCAAGTGCATTGGTACAAAACTAAATCTTCCCAAACACAGCTCGCTCATCAAACTAAACCCTTTCATTGGGAATGACGGGCTACTGAGAGTCGGAGGTCGCATTGCACGCTCGGGGTTGGAGACAAAGGAAACTAACCCTATCATTCTACCAGGCACCCACCACATAACCACCCTCCTTGTGAGACATCAGCATGAAAAGGTCAGCCACCAGGGGAGACATTTCACCGAAGGGGCGGTCAGAGAAAGTGGCCTGTGGATTGTAGGCGCAAAAAGGTGCATCGCTAAAGTCATAAACAAGTGTGTCACCTGCAAAAAACTAAGAGGAAGGTTTGAAGAGCAGTTAATGAGCGACCTACCTTCAGAACGACTCCAGGTGGAGCCTCCCTTCTCTTATGTGGGAATGGATGTTTTTGGCCCATGGGAAGTAGTTACAAGACGTACTAGAGGGGGACAGGCCAACAGTAAACGATGGGCAGTACTCTTTACATGCTTGAGCACAAGAGCTGTCCATATTGAAGTTGTGGAAGAGATGAGTTCATCAAGTTTTATCAATGCACTGCGGCGCTTCTTTGCACTGAGAGGCCCTGCAAAACAGCTGCGTTCCGACTGCGGCACCAATTTTACTGGTGCTCACAAAGAGATCACAGCATCATCACCACTCAAGGATGAGGTCCAACATTATTTAAAGGAGCAAAGGTGTAAATGGGTATTCAACCCACCCCATTCATCCCATATGGGGGGAGTATGGGAACGCATGATCGGAATAGCAAGGCGCATTCTGGACAGCATGTTGCTGCAAGCTGGTAGTGTCCAGCTCACCCATGAAATTCTCACTACCTTTCTAGCAGAAGTAACAGCCATAATGAACGCCCGCCCACTAGTACCAGTCTCAACTGACCCAGAGCATCCACTTATTTTGTGCCCTGCTATGCTCCTCACACAAAAAACTCATGCAGTTCCTCCAATATGCGACAACATCAGCCAAAAGGAGATGCTAAAGAGCCACTGGAAGCGCGTTCAGCTCCTGGCTGACAACTTCTGGAACAGGTGGCGGAAGGAGTATCTCAGCAGCCTCCAATCCCGTCAAAAATGGCACCACAAAAGAACTGACATCAAAGAAGGGGATGTGGTTCTACTTAAGGAAAAACAAACAAGAAGAAACGAGTGGCCTATGGGTGTCATCGTCAAGACAGTTCCAAGTGAAGATGGGATAACAAGGAAAGCTGAGGTTAAAGTTGCTAACCAAGAGACTGTTAAGACCTATTATAGACCCATATCTGAAATGGTCTTCCTGTTATCAGGTGATGTTTAAGTTTGTTTATTATGGTATCTATAGGATACCAGACGGGGAGTGTTCTGGCTCTGCCATACATTTTATTTATGAGCGCTGTCTCTTTAAGAGAATCAGGAAGTTGAGCGTTCAGGCCACACCGTGCAGCGATCGCGCCAGTGTGAAGCAGCTTACAGAAAGCGAGGTGTTGTGTTAACAGCTGTGGGTTTTCAGTTCAGAAAGGGCATTCCTTGTAAGTATTACCATAACATAATGTTTATATGAATAATTAGTTATACAAATGGCAAAGAGAGTTCATCCAGGATGTAAGGAATTATTTACAAGTATTATTTTAAGGGCATCCTTAAATTGTTTGTGGCTGCAATGAAGCATGGTTATGATTTATTTCTGACTTTTGTGTGTTTTTTACTTATTGATGCAAATGCAGTGTATTTGTTGTTACAGTTTCACACCTGCCATATAAAGTACAAGGTCCAAACCACCCAGGCGTCTGAGACTTCTTGTGTGGAGGTGTTTAACTAAACGGATAGTGGAAGAGGTTTCCACGAGGCCGTAAAATGCACTTTTATAACAAGTTCAGGCAAACTCAGCGCAGAGTCTCACAGGCTGGTGTGCGATAAATCATTTAAACCTTAAAATGCAATGTGGAGTTTAAGAAAATCTATTGTGTTATCGTAAAACAACACATAGCCTCATGTTTAATAAATGTGATGGATGGATTATAGCACCAAAAGGTCAAAGGTCAACATGAACAGTCTACAGTGGTTGTTAGATTTCCTCTCTCTCTCTCTCTCTCTCTCTCTCTCTCTCTCTCTCTCTCTCTCTCTCTCTCTCTCTGTTACCTGTGGCTATACAAAGAGACGGACATATTTTCCAGCCTGTCACACGTGGACGTTGAACTATTTGTCTTCAGGGCGCTGACTGACCACACGAAAGAACGGCGCTTCGCTGTGTCCAACCCGAATATCCCCTGACACGTCGCTCCAGCTCGTGGAGAGTTTAATTTAACCTGATTGGCCAGATCTGCTGGAAGGCATGATTCTCGCCTGTCCAGCAGCGTACATCAGTGGCCCAAGGGCACTGTGGAAAATGGCAAGCTGTTATCATGGTCCAGTTACACCAGTGATTTGGATAGATACTGGAATTGCCAATAAATATTTACTTATTCATTTAACACTTTGGTTAAAAGTTTGGCTTTCGCCGGGGAGATTCTGTTCTGCCTGTTTTCTTCCTTCTGCAATTTTCTTTCAATTTCCTCCCTCACACTTCACATGTTCTCATAAACACAAGTGCCAACCATGTGCACTCTAGCATGTGCTCCTCTTTTGTTTCTCAATGGTGACATAAAGTGCTACGGGCTAAACTGGAGGAGGGGGGGGGGGGGGGGGGGGCACGAGGGATTCTTAGCCTGATTCTGTCTTTCCCTGTGCCCCGAGAAGCCCTGCAGGCCTGAGAGGATGTCCTGGGAAACTTTGCCACGGGCCCTGCTTACATCACACATGACCAATCCACTCCTTACAGTAACTTCAATTGTTTAATAAAAAATAAATCATGTGTTGCTTAATCAAATGTTCTGTGTTTAAATACATAACTCCTCAGGGCAGCTGACAGGTGCCCAAGTTCTCACTTTATAAATCTTTCAGTTTGCACAGAAAAATGACCTTGATGACTTATTTTATTTACATAAGTTCTTTTATGTCAACCAACCTGCTTAATACGTACGTTTATTGTAGGTCCTTTTTATTTATCACCAGGAGTGTGAGTGTCACATGATATTTATGGTTCTGTGGGGTTGGATCTCTGTGGGTCAGGCTTACTTTGATAATAGCTCAATTAGATTAGAATAGAGCATAGAGGCCAGATCAGAGCCTTCGTGGAGCTTTTAGAGCTGATCAGGCAGTTTTAAATAAAGGTTTCCTTTGGAAGAAGAAGAAGAAACGGTTTTTCTAAAGCACATCTCAAGATAAAAATCAAGAGGCGCTTCACAAAAACAAAAAAAATTGGAAATATAAAAAGAATTTAGAAAATGATTAAAATAAGTTTAAAATAAGCAAAAATAGAAAATCGTGATTAAAAAATGTAAAGAAAGAGAAAGAGTTAATAGGAAAGAGGGAAATCAGTGGATCCTGAGGAAGGTGGAACAGGTAGGGAGAGCAGAATAAAGAGGGATTGGTGAAGAAGGTCATACAAAAGCCAACCTGAACAGGCTGGCTTTGACTGGCCAACCAAACCGACGGAGCACTATAAATGGCAACACAACACTACTCAGGCCAGTGGTAGACCTGCTGAGGCTACAATAGAGAAGTAGACTGACCTGCAGAGCACAGGTGGCACAGACGTTAAGTATTCCCAACTCAGTCTGTCGCTGTGGCCTGTGGGACAATTAACCCACCTTGGTAGTGGTCGAAGGGACCGGCGGTGCCTGTGTACGGCAGACTCACCTCTGTCAGTGTGTCCCAGGGCAGCTGTGGCTACAATGTAGCTCATCAGCACCAGGGTGTGAATGTGTGTATGAATGGGTGAATGATTGATTGTGTTGTAGAGTGACTTGGGTGGGGGAGGGGGGTTCCAGGACTCTAAAAGGCGCTATATAAAATACAGGCCATTTACCATCTGTCCAGATTTCTAGGCTACTGGATGTATTGACTCCACCCCCTTAGACAATTAGTGACGGAAAGTCCCTGACATTGCATTTTCAGATTGGGTCTGTATGCTTGGAACTACATAAGCAGGGACCGCAAAGTTGGGAGGAAATTCATACTCCTGCTGTTGGAAAAGGCTGTCCAACCAGATCAAACCAATTCAAGTTACGGTGAGTAGGGCTGTTGGAAAAAGGACATTAGGGGTTACACTGGTCCAGAAACCCTGCTTAATCGTTGACTTAACTCTTAAGAATGTCCATAGGTCTCAGAGAAGCCTGCAAATCACTTGTCAAATCAGGTGTGTTTGAGCAGGGGAAAAAAATAAAAGTAGCTGGATAGGGTAAGGGTTAGTCTTCAATAATTAAGATTTCTACAACTATGTACCAATATTTGTGGCTTTTAAGACAATTGAAAATAATTCTGCCGCAGGATATGAGAGATACACCATCCCACTAAAGGTCAAGTTTTCTACTCATAACATTGATGGCAACTAAAGAAATGGGAACAAATGGATAGTTGTCATGAGATGGTGATGAATGAATGTCCCCAATAGACTCCAGAAATAGGCAGGTGAAGGTAATGATGGACTTAATTTAAACAAAAAGGGTCTTAAAACAGAAAGCCTTCTGGTTGAGCTTCATAGATAAAAAAAGACTTGACAGGAACAACGACAACACAAACTAGGACGAGAGTGATGGGTTTGGAAAGCAACAACTGAAGACCTGGACCTGGATTTACAGAGGGGATGGTTAACTGACACGGGGCAAATGTGCTAATTAAACAAACTGGGACTTGGTGTACAATAAAAGCTGAAAGTAAGAAAAAGATCAAGACAAGTTATGGAATTGAATAAACTGAATAAACTAATCTTATATACAAATCCATGGAATAATAAATTACAGTGCATTCAATGAAGTAAACACAAAGATAACTGAACTCTTCCAAAGGAGGTAATGTTCTACCAATGTTTTGGGAGCGGTTTGATTTGTATTTCCTGTTGAGAACCTTGGCCCTAGTGTCATGTCTCGCAGACACCAAGAAAACCATGACGTCTACCAAAAGCCGAGATTAGAACCTGAGGTTCCTAAACCAGACAGCTGACTAGGAATGCCTTGAACCCCTCAGGAAGAACTGACAGCCATCAACAAGGAGAGGGATTTTAGAGTTTCCTCTTGGATTTGCTATCTCTGCAACCCAGCCTTGCGTAGGTGAAAGAATAAGTGAATGGGATGCCACCTAAAGAGTCAAACACAGATAAACGAGCCTTAACTTAAAGCATGCAATTTCTTTCTTGGCTGAAATGACTGTTCCTTATTGGATGACAGTAAAAAATCTCCAAACATTAAGAATTTCGGTTGCTTTAGTTATATTCCGTCATTATTTTCGAACCCTCGGTGACTGAAAACTATCACACGCTTATGTAAGACACAGTGTTACATCCACCAGTTTTGCTTGATGCCTGGAAGCCCCCGCCACGTTGTTACAGCTCTGTTAGTGGACGCATGTTTCAGGACCTTGGACAGCTCCGTGCTAGAGGTCTGACGGACCGCGGCTGCTGATGAGAGGGTTGTAACACACAGTTCAAAGCAGATCATTTGCTAAGATGTTGGCATTGTGGTGATACTGATTCAGATAGCCCAACCATAGTGTCACTTCTTGCCTTTGTCGTAAACATGCTAAATGTAGGGCTAAGTGATAGAGACAGTAAAGCAAGAGTCATTTTAGGTGTTCTATTACAGGTTTACATGTTTTATCATCTATTCCTTTAAAGAGCAGGTTCACTGAGAAACCATTTTTTACTTATTATTTATGAAAATGGTCAGTCTCTAAGTTTTACATGCAGGCTGAACATAAAACAAATGTTCTACTCCTATTTCCTACGTTAGCTTGTGATAGAAAATACATGAAAAAATGCTCAGTTCAGAAGAGCCTGATATATCTACGTCACACTGTCACTTAACATTCATGGCCTCACCCATCTTGGCATTGTTGGTTTAGAGTCCAGGAAACACCAGAGAACTTCTCAACCAGCAGAAGCTAACCGCTAGCATTAGCTACTCCACAACACAGCAGAACTCCTTCAGGCTTGTGTTGTTTGTGGAAATAAAACGTCAACATTATAAAGTAAAAAGAGTTAGTGGTAGAGTTATGTTGCTGTTAGCCAGTCAGAGGTGTGACGTCCAAATATCAGGAAATAAGACTCCAAAGCCCTCCGGAAGAAGCTACATTCTCCTCCAGCTGACCTCTACGTCCTGAAACAGGCGTGCCAGAGCTTCCTTTCCCCCTGAGAATGATTTTCAAGGCATTCATTCCTACTAGAGACCCCTGAAAGTGTATTAAAATAAGACGGAAGTGGACCTTTAATGAAGGAAAATTAGAAACGATGTTATCCTAAAGCACAAGTTTGTCAGATCTGTCTTCATCCCCGCCATCAGCAGAAAAATACCTGGCATATCATCTGTGCCAGTATAAAAGCACAGCAGGAGGGTTCATTTCTTTCACCACAATTCACCTTGCATTTTCTGTTCTAACAGAGTAAAGTAGGAGTCTTCACTGTAATAATAGCCCATACCATATTAGGTCAAAGCGGGGGAGAGGAGGAGGTGGTGGGTGTTGAGCACAGTCGAATATACCCTAATTAAAATGGATACCTCCCACATGGACAATGTCCTGTCTCATCAGCCGGCTGCAGCGTTTTAATGTTAGGTGCTAAATTCCTCCCCCGCGTATGTCAGTCCTCGTTAAGGGACTGTGTCATGTAGTAATGGCCCCCCGCTTAATGGCTTGTAAAAAGGCGGTTAACACTCACTTTGGCTTTCGTTTTCTTCTTCCCAGCGGTTCCACATTGAGAAGGCAGATGCAGTATGATTGACCTCTCTTTGGGGGACTTT